AAAAAAAAAATACAGTAAATCCAACACACAGTAAGTCTACAGTACAGCAACGAGGAAAAAGTGCCAGAGAACCCAAAGAGACCGAAGCCGTTCATTCACACTTCACACCGTCCTCTGCTTTGACTAAGTTACACACATCCAAAGTCTGACTGAAGTGAACTGTGTAAGAAATAATGGCCGCTGAAAAGGAATGAAGACATGAAAATGTTTGATGTATTTTACATGAGGCCTGGAAGCCAAAACTGACTCACTGACCCAACAGTATACGAGCCCTACAGGTGAGGAAATTCGCTGGAGACTGAGAGAGAGAGAGAGAGATCGATCGTCTCCAGGTAAGCCATGCAGATACAAGTCACGCAGAGCACTCCTATACCACTCTGCATGAGGCCAACAGTAAGAAAAGCGGATACATCAGAGTAACATATCAAGCATTTCAGCCGGGAGCTGAAGAGCTGGACAACCCGCAAGCTTTAACGGAAGAAGGAAATGTCGCAAAGATGATCAGTCACAACATCCGACTCGGGAATAATAAACCTGGTGTCCGGTTTCTCTCCAGTGACATTGTGAATGAAAGAAACCAACGGGAACGACTCGTGAAACACTTTCACTGCAACGCTTTGCTGCGCTAAGCCACGTTTGCTCGAGGATTCTTCCCAAAAATGACAGCGGACCCCTTCAAGGACACAAGGTGGAATGCAATCATCCAAAGACAGAAAAAACTAAAATAATAAAACATTCAACTTCATATTTTCCTGGCACAGGTAAAAGGCATGGGCTAGTAGTAGTCTCAGGAAATGGCACTCAGGGAAATCCATGGGGGGAAAGACTGAAGGCTACAGTCTGGATATCCATATCAGAATACTTTGAGTTTTTTTCCTCAGGCAGCTGGAATGAAATGGCCGAGCCGCTGCTGATGAAAGCAGGGGCGATCGCAGGCAGCTAACATCACGTGTTTGTCTGGGAAAAAATAAACTGTAAGAGGCATTAAGACATATCAGAGACATGAATACCTGTCATTCAGATAGCCTGGTTTCCCCACCGTTCCCCTCAAATCCTATGTGTGGAATTACTATGGTAACGCCCAAGAAAAGAAAAGGGGTAAAAACAGAAAAGAAGAAAAGGTCCCGTAGATTTTCAAATTCAAGTACTTTCAATAACACAATAACTTAGACCCCAGAGTAACCAACATGTCAGGGGTTAAAAATAATAATAAACTGGAAGCTATACAGTGTAAATACATATAACAAGCAGGTTTACATACTGATTCATTGAGAAAAATCTGCAACATCTACAACATCATATTTCTAAAGATGATGGAGACAAACCTGAAACTCCACTCATCTTGGTCTTGGATGAATGAGTG